ATAAACTGTACAAAGAGATGAAAATTAAATATGTTTTCTTGTCTTTACATTAGTATCATTTTCAAAATAATAATAATCAATAATAATCGGGTTGTTCAGGCAGGCCGTCAACCAACGATCTTGAGGAGCCTTAGAGAGCTCAAGAGTTCCCAGGAAAGTAAGTGGTTAGTGACTGAGATTTACAGATAGATACATGCAGTAATTTGATGTACTGTATATGCACATAGAGAGAGAGAGAGAGAGAGAGAGAGAGAGAGAGAGAGAGGAGCTCAAGGTGCCAGTTCCCCTGGTAGTCTAAGCCTATAACAGCATAACTAAGAGCTGGTCTACACCAGCACCAGCCCTAACTATAAGATTTATCAAAAAGGAAAGTTTTAAGTCTATTCTTAAAAATACAGACTTCTGCTTCCTGGACCCCGGCTGGAAGGCGGTTCCAGAGGAGAGGAGCCTGATAACTGAAGGCTTTACCCCCCATAGTACACTTGGTACCACCAGCAGGCCTGCACTCCGGGACGCAACGCTCTCGAGGGCAGTACGGCACTAGTAGCTCCTTAAGATAAGATGGTGTCTGGCCATTTAGAGCTTTGTAAATGAGAAGAAGGATCTTGAATTCTATTCTAGACTGTATAGGGAGCCAGTGCAGAGAAGCCAACACAGGAGTAATGTGGTCCCTTTTCCTAGTTCTGGTCAGTACACGAGCTGCAGCGTTCTGGACTAGCTGAAGAGTCTTTAGAGACTTACCAGAGCACCCTGACGAAGGAGAATTACAATAATCCAATCTGGAGGTAACAAATGCATGAACTAGTTTTTCTGCATCATTTTGCGACAGGATATTCCTGATCTTGGATATATTACGAAGGTGAAAATAGGCTGTTCTTGAAATTTGCCTGATGTGGGAGCTAAAGGACATATCTTGATCAAAAAGAACTCCTAGATTCCTTACAGTGGTGCAAGATGCCAGGCTGATGTCATTAAGGACAGTTAAATCACTAGAAAAAGTCTCTCTGAGGTTTTTAGGGCCTAGCAGAATAACTTCAGTCTTGTCTGAGTTAAGTAGCAAAAAATTTCTGGTCATCCAGGTCCTAACGTCCTTAAGGCATGTTTCTAGCTGACATAACTGACTGGTGCCATCGGGCTTAATTGATACATAAAGCTGAGTATCATCTGCATAACAATGAAACTGTATGGAGTGTTTCCTCGTAATATTTCCCAGAGGAAGCATATATAATGTAAAGAGAATTGGTCCAAGCACTGAACCTTGTGGCACTCCATGGCAAACATTGGTGTGCATAGAGGACTTATCATGAACATGTACAAACAGGATCTGATGGTCAATGGTGTCAAAAGCAGCACTAAGATCTAACAAGACGAGCACAGAGAGAAGTCCCCTGTCTGAAGCTAGAAGTAGATCGTTTGTAACTTTAACTAGTGCAGTCTCAGTGCTATGGTGGACTCTAAATCCTGACGGAAACTCCTCAAATAAACTGTTGTCATGGAGAAAGTCACACAGCTGATTAGCTACCACTTTCTCCAGGATATTAAGGTCCCTGTGACGTTTCACCTTAAATATGATGTTGCCCCCTCCCCATGTTGCGGAGGGGTAATGGGGATGAAATTATCTCCCTCTGTTCCGCCTTCACAGCTACTGCTGTGGTTCAAAGTTTATCAGCCCTTGGGGGCCTCCCTACTGGCCTGAGGGCCCCCAAGCAGTTGCCTGTTGACAAAAAGAGAGGCGCTGGAAGTGAAGGAGTTGGTGGGCACATTATGGTAATAACCCATGTTCTTATTCTGGTAAACAGTGTGCATGTAATCAGACTAACATCTGAAGCTCTCATTAACCAATTTTTTTTGTTGTATTAGCACAACAAAAAACGTTAGAATATACATTTATGTTGATTAAACATTTCACCAGTTTAAACCACATATATTTTTCATCATCTGACTGAGGAAGTAATCGGTCCAATTCACGATTTTATTGTGAAGTTGAAATGTCCGGATGTTGCGGGTAGTTCACACTAGCTTGACAAAGCTTCACTTACAACCAGTGTACCATTGGTGTTTGCTGCTCAGTAATGTTTACCTCGCCGTAAAAAAAGAGGTATGCTGCCACCTAGTGGTATTATTATCAAAACATCAGGTTAAAAAGAAAAAACCACCACACTGTAATTACTTTGCAGGGTTGGAAAGAGACAAGAATATTGTACTCAAATAAAAGGACAGTTACTTTTATTGACTTGAGTAAAAGTAAAAGTTCTGGTCTATAAATCTTTTTAAGTGAAATAAAAAACTATTATTTTAAAGGTGTCTTAAAGAAACCAAGAACTGAGTAGTTATTTTGTACCTGGGGTTAAAAAGTAAAATCTTCCCCTCGTGCAAAAACAACAAGAATATGAATCTCCAACCAGGTGGTTTCAGTAAAACTTTAAATAATGCCCTTCCCAATTTAAGGCCCGGCCCCATTTACAGAGAGCTGCTTGACAACAACAGGCAAGGCAGGTCACTGCTTGGGGCCCCTGGTCAGTAGGGGGCCAAACCGAGGACTGACAAACTTTAAACCACATGTTGCAGTGACTCAGAATTTTACAATGACAGTTGAAAGCCTCCCTTGGGGGGTCCCATCTGACAGTACTCAATGATGTCGCACTGCTAAGCTTTCCAATCTTCCTGTGAAAACTTGAATGTGTCAGATTATTTTTTAACATAATGGTGATGAATGCTGGTTGGAGGCCCCCCCTCCCAATGTTTCCTGTCTCTCTTCGGCTGTCCTTCAAAATAAAGGCAAAAAGGCCCCAAAAAACACTGTTTGACTTTTACTAGAATTATTTCTAAGTTTTAAATTCGGGTTCTGTGTCAACCCTGCTCCTTCCTCAGGCACATGGTGACATTATGCCTGAGGGAGAAGCCAGCAAGTTATTTTTAAAAAAGCATCACTATAATTAAATAGTCAGGATTAGTTTTTGGCTGCAGGATTTCATTATTCCGATTCTGATGAGGTACTTTGTGTGGGAAACTGGTATCAGAGGATCAGAGCTCACCAGAGTGTCAGCTTTGTGTATAAAGTTGACTTTAATAAATCCACACATTCACTGTGGCTTCATTCATAAAATTTTTAATCAGGAGAGACTTCAGGAAGAGTTTACAAATATTTATTTAATGGTTTAGAAAAAGATAAATATGTAACATCTTTGATTAGACTCCGCCATGATGACTTCAAGAACTCAGAGGGGAAGCGAGGCCGACAGCAGGATAGGATAGACTCCCCCTAAGGAGTCTAGACCCTGGTGGTGATAGAAGAAGTCAGGATGTGATGAGGAGTGGGTTTCTGAGTCTGGATCTGAACCCTGCTGAGCTGGACTGGAGGTGATCGGGGCGGAGGGGGGTCGCAGCGATCGCACTGAAATGACAAACTGACTTCAGAAGAGAGAGGACCGGTTTGAAAATCAGCAGCAGCAGGGTGATTGTTGGAGAGAGGTCGTGGGAGATCTTGGTTTGGACCCAGGAAACATGAGACCAGGGCCGTATCCGAATTGTCACAGTTCAGTATGCATTTTTTGGGTCCACCTCAGTATACTGAACATTTCAGTATGGATACTAACTTCCGGGTTTCATGCAGCATAGATCGGATGCGTGCTTTCAGGAAATTAATTGTATTTAACCCACAATGCTGTGCGAAATTAAACGTAAATCGTCACGTTACGTCCGCCTCCAAATCAAAACAAACAAGCGTGGATTAATTCAATCAATTTTTAATCTAGAGTTAAAGTCCCGACTGAAATCACTACTTTTAATTAACAACAAAAAATAAAACAAATACCTGCATTATTATAAAACCTTTCCCCCTCTATTTAAATAATGATCTCACTATTTAAATGTGTCTTTATTGGTTTATTTTATATTCTGTATATTACTGTCTTTCATTTGTACTTTCCTTTATGTACTGTATGTGATTTAGTTATGTAATCTTTTACTTGATTTACATTGTGATATTGTTTTTTGTTTACCTGACTGTATATGAGCATTACTCTTCTTGAATAAAGCTAAACAAAAAACAAAATAAAAACAAAAAAACGGGTGAATGCGGGTTCGGGAAACGTAAATTACGTCACATCCATACTGAATGAATCAGAAGAAGTAGGAACAAATATCTGCCTACTGTGTGTGCATACTGAATAGTAGGTACTAACAGTATACAGCACGGATAGTACGTACTGCATACTGAAAGATTCAGTATGTACTTGGCAATTCGGATACGGCCTGTGTGTGTCCTGGGCTGCATACTTTACGTTTACTTTCGCACAGCATTGTGGGTGGTAAAACACAATTAATTTCCTGAAAGCACGCATCCGATCGATACTGCATAAAACCCGGAAGTTAGTATCCATACTGAAATGTTCAGTATACTGCGGTGGACACAAAAAATGACCACTGAATGACCACGAAAGTTCAGTATACTGAAACTCCATACTGAATAGTACGTACTGCTTACTGAACTGTGACTATTCAGAAAGGGCCCCGGACCATGCAAGTCCTTAAAAAGAGCTGATAGATAATCTGTGCAGATGTGTTTTGTTCCTTCTTATTAACAGTCTGCCCTCCAGATGGCGCTGTTGGATCAAGGAAGAAAAACACAAATCATCATGTTGCATGCATCTGGTTTAAGGATTTAGATATCTTCAAATACTTTTGACATTTGCGATAATAGAGTTCCTAATAGAGTGGATGCATAATGCTCTGCCGTATTCCTGTCACATTGGTGGTTTTAGTCCCTTTTCAAAAATAACCCTGCAGCCCGTATAGGTCCCTGTGGTACCAGAAATTGAATGCATGCAGGCGTCCCCGGGACAACAAAACAGGAAAAACAAACCTTTATATCAACAAGGATTCAATCATTTATGTGATCAGGGACAGGAAATAACAAGGGATCATTTGTCGGAGAAAGGAAATGATCCTGCTCCTGTGAGGATGAGAAACAGCATTCATCTCAGAGATACTGTACATTCATCGAGATTAATAGTTACTGCAAATGATTGAATCACCTCTGGATGTTTGAGAGGCCACATGCAGGGAGTCAAATCTGAATCTGAATCTTTCTAGTGAATTGTTTTTGTGCTGCTGAGTGCGTGGGAGTGGATTCCCCCTTTTAGAACAAACACAGTTATCATTACAGAAAACAGGTTTTTATTTCAGACTGAGCGTGTTAGACGATAAAAAAAATAAAAATAAAAATAAATAAAATAAAAATAAATAAAACTTTATTTATACAACACCTTTTAAAAACACAGGTTTACAAAGTGCTTTGACAAACAGCAAAAACAAGAACAAAGCAAACGAAACCAAACACAGAAGAACAGAAACAACAGCAACAACAAACAAATGCAACAGATTCAACAGAAAAGAACCCAAAGTGCACGATACCCAACAGACATATATAACCCGACCATCACAAGAACCATCATAAGAACCATCAGAAGAACCATCAGAAGAACCCAGGCAACACAAGAACCCAACAACACGAGCTGACACCAAGAGGACCAAAGATTTAAAAAAATGTAAGAAACTAAAAGAGATAAAAACAAATAAAAAGATAACAGCAATACGAAGGTAAGAGCAGGAAAAGAAATAGAAACAAGTGATTAAAGGATAAAAAAAACCAATAATATTAATAATAATAAAAAGTATATATTCATATAAAAACATAAAAAGACAAAGTAAGATAAAAAAAAATGACCAAGTTAAAACATAAGGAGTTAAGATAAGAGCATAAATAAAAGGACAGTAAGAAGTAAAAGAAGATAAAAATAGTCAAACCAGTAAGAAGACATTAAGAAGACGACATCACATAAAAGCAAGTCTGTAAAAGTATGTTTTAAGAAGGGATTTAAAAGAATTGAGGGAATCTGTGAGTCTCACCTCCTCAGGGAGGTAATCACAGAAAACCTCAAAACAGAAACTAATTAAAGAACTACTACTTACACTTTTTAAGATTCTGGGTCCTGACAGACATTAATAACTCATGTGCTCTGAAAAAGGAACAAAGGAAACCTGTCAAACCTATGACACCGCTAACGATACAGCCTCACGCTACGTCTCAGTCTGTTCTGAATAATATCTGCAGGGTTGTACTCTCTCGGCCTCTCGGAGTGTCGCGTTCCCACCTCTGGAACTCCCTCCCACCACAAATCCGTAACATCGACTCTCTCTCCATTTTCAAATCTCATCTCAAAACACATCTTTTTAAACTGGCATATTCAGTCTGCTCATTCTCCGCCCGGTCTCATGACTCCTTCACATCCTGTACATTTGTGTTTTTAATGTTCATTTGAGTGTTGTGTTGTTTTCATCTCTGCTCTGTAAGGTGACCTGTATCAGAACCAGATAGAGACAGGGACTCAAAAGCAGACTCACACGTGGCTGAGTTCAGGAAAAGGTAGAGTTTAATAACAGTCCAGGTCGGTACACGGGCAGTCAATTCTTCAAGGCAAAAAAATCCAAAGGGAGCAGGCAGAAGGCAAAACAGTAAGGCAGGCACGGTCAAAAATCACTATAAGTCTACTAGGAAACAATGCTGGAACAAGGTGACACACAGGAAAACACTACAAACTGGTAACATGAGGGAGGAAACACAGAGATATATACACACAGACAATCAGGTGATAACTAGACACAGGTGAACACAATCAGGGCAGGAACACATGAGGAGCAGGATCTGAAAGACAGAGACAAGGGGAAGTACAAAATAAAACAGGAACAGACAAAAATACTAAATAATTGAGTAAAAAACAAAACATGACACGAGGTAACTTTACGGATCCTGTCACTGTCCTACATTTCATTTCTTTTATTGTATGCTGATTTTATCCATCGTTGTTTTTTAAATGTTGATTATTGTACAGTGTCCTTGTTTGTCTTGAAAGGCGCTTATAAACAAAATGTATTATTATTATTATTATTATTATTAAAACTATTAGATTGAGCCTACATTGTTTATTGTCATTTATAATTTCAGTTAATTTATTGTAATTTCATAGAACAGAGTGTCCTAAATTAATGCAAAGACAAGAATAATATTGTTGAACATCAGAGCAGCAAAAAGTTTTTTGTTGTTGAATTGAGATTTCACAAAGACATCAAAAGTAGAAAAATAAGAAATAAATATTAAGAGTGAAAAGTTGTCTTCAACATGATTTAATGTTCTTTTGTTTTTGCAACAGTCCCTGTAAATATAAAACACTTTACAATAAATAAACAGATATTTGATCCTCAGAACACATTTGAAGTTGTTAACGTCTGTATGATGATATTAAATGTCTATCTTAGTTGGAGCAGTGTTTGAACTCACAGGTTGCTGTCTCCATGACGACCGGACACAAGAGGCGTTGCACGTGATCCGAAAGTGGTCATCGGTGCAGACTCGCTGGTGGAGGGTTTTACAACCCACTACCACTCCCCGCTAATTGGTTTGGGACAGACTTAATATGGCGGACCCTCAGCGAGGACGCAGAAACAGAGGGGTAGTGGGGAGGGAGAGGTGTAGTGGCCGGTTTGAAAAGACCCACACAATATTTACAAGAGAGGAAAGGAGGCTCTATTGAACTAACATGCCCTCCTCTGGTTTTAAATATGTCCTCAGACAATATTTAAAAAGCTTGATATAATGGAGACATGAAGAATGAAGAAAATGACCTATTATTTAATCTGGAAGAGAAAAAGAAAGTGAGCTGAGGAGTTGTATTGACTTTATATAATTATCTTTAAGTATTAGTGTCTGGTCTGTTTATTGCACCTCATAGCTTTCACACTTACCTCAAACTTATCACAAAGTGAACTATCTAAGAAAAGCACAAACTCTCTAATCAATTCATAGCTTTCATGTGATGTCACACATGCTCATGGAAGGTAGGAGAGGTGGGGAAAAAATGTATTCATGTAAAAATCGAGATTCATAACTTCCAAAAATCTTCTTTTGGCTAATCAGTCACTATCTGCTAAATCTAAGGCTAGCTCTTTAACTCAGTAGAATGCCAAATGGAGCAGTAAGAAAAATTTGCCAATCTAACAAATGACTGGAGTAGATCCTGAAGTATGTACTAATTCAAAAATAGACTTTGTATCAGGAATTCAGAATCGTTTTGAATCGAAAAAAGATTCTGAATCGATTCATGAGACCTAGAAAGGAAATCAAATTGAATCGTGAGACTTCCAGCCCTAGAAGGTAGTGTTACATTGTCACCTTGGTTCTCTCAGTGTAGAGACTATCTCTCCATCTTGTTACATTACGTATGTGGGATATGATCCCCTGCTCGTCAGAGTCCGTGGGTATTACTTGAAGAGACTCGCCCCACAGCTCATTCCCCTGCTGGCCTGCACTCACACTGCTCAAGGACTAACCGGGCCTGAGCGAGTTTACCTCTTGTACATAAGGTTGTAATACAACACAGGCATGGCTTTATGTTATCATGAAGCGTGCTTAGTTTACAAGACAGGCTTACTTGATAAAAAAAAAGAAAGAGACGCGCTGTCGGGTGTTCTTCCTTTCCTCAGAGAACAACACAGAGAACATGTCAGCTACTTTACTGACTTTGTGGCTTATTTTGAGTCATTGAGTCACACTCCGGGATGTCTCCATAATGAAGGCTGTCCACGTTGTGTACCTGTGTACTTGTGCTCATGCATGAACTGTACCGTGCTGAAGCACACCTCTTTGAATCATGCCATGGCCAAGGAAGGATCGGAGCATTCTCACTGGTCAAACGAACTGGACTTTAGGGCTGTAAATTTCCATTCATACAATCTGCTTTCTCATAATGCTGAGCTGAAACATCAAAAGAGTTGCTTGCAGACAAGGTGTTTCTCCTTTTAATAAGTCATGAGGTTTGTTAAAAACATCAACTGCTTCACAGGTAACTCTTATCAAGTATTTGAAAAACAATCTTTTTGAGGCAGTGTGCATCAGGTTACAGACTCTAAAGTCACAAAGGAACATTTAAAATTTCTGCTAGACTAGATTGGGGCAACTTAACCACTGCCTTATTCTGACATCCTGCCAGTGTACTTGCACGTTCAAAATTCATCTTTTTGTTTTAGGTCAGAGTTGTGGTTCTTCTCTCAAACTCCGCCTGTTTGCACCCATAGTTAAACCAAGTAAGCTTATTGTCTGCTGCAGCTGCTGATCGAACACGTTTCATTGGCTGCATTCTCACACATTTTATCTGAACTGCTGTCTGATGGTGTCTTTACATGGAGTTACATTAAAGATTCTTGATATTCTTATCCTTAGAAAGCCAACCTCGTTAGTGCCTTAGATTCTTTTTTAAAATAACGTCAGTACTGGACGCCAGTCTGTAACTTCATCCATATTCATAATGTGAAGAGGAAGTAAGACAAACTTTAACAGCTTGACTTCTGATGACCACAGAGGAACATTTGCTGTAGAGACGACATCTCCTCCCTGTTGTAAGTAGAACTATTCAATGATATGCCATTTATTGAAACATGTACAGACCTTCTGTTAATGTGTTTTATTTACTCTGAAGTCACACAGGGATGAGAGGAGCAGCTATGAGTTTGAAAGCAGCAGTGAGTGGATTGGTTATCTTCCTTCTCTCTGTGTCAGGTACTGTATATCCTCACTAAAACTTTCATCACTGAACGTATTTGGATAAGGCTTAAATTGTTTTTAAAATGATAAAAGAGTAGACTCTTTAATGTTCAGGTTTTTTAGATTGAGTGTTAGATATGATTCAAACTGTTAAAGACATGTTTGCTTCTGTTTCTTTCTATAATTAGATTGTTTTGTCTCACTAAGTTTCTAAGTCTTACGATGTGTTTTTAATGTTTTCATACATTCAACATCCGTCTGCATCATTTTTCACAAACAGTGAAGATTTTTGGAGTATTTTACAGTAAGAGAAGTTCTGAATACCTAAAGCTGCAGAATTCAGTAACTTCCAGCTGTAAGAGTCTTTATTTCCTTCATGAGAGAACAAGATAACATCTCCAGAAAAAGGGAACCAGAAATGCTGATGCATTAAGTTTTGTATGATGTATGTGTGATGTTTCCGTTCTCTTTCTGCTTAACAGTGTTGGGGTTGTATCAAGTCAACTTTGGTTATATTCTTTAATAATTATACTTAATTATTAATAATATAAATAAAATATCATTAAACTATGTTTAATCTCGTTTTGGGGCACCAACCTGTAATCAGGTAAATATAACCAAAATATCACTCAAATCAGTCTCACATTAGTTATTTAATTACTAATATTATTAATAATGAATAACTATATTTAATAAATTGAAGGCGTGAAATCCGTACACAAAGCCTTCTCACCCAGCTTATATCACAATGCAAATACACTTGTAACCACAAACAACTGCTCTCTTAAATTATAACAGAATTTATTTAAACAAAGCAACACCAATCCAAAATCAATGAACTTAATTAAACAAATAACTATTATAAACTAATCTAAGCAACAAACATTATCAAACAAGGCTTGTGGATGAGGTGTAAATGTGTGTGTGTGCAGATGAGTATGTATGTAGATGTGTGTGTGTGAGAGAGAGAGAGAGAGAGAGAGAGAGAGAACAAGATGGTGGAGAGAGACAATGCACCATGTGGCTTCGTCACATGGTGACAAAATGGTGGACAACAAAGGAAGCCGTGTGGCTACCTTTTGAAATAGTTTGAGCTCTCTGAGCTGAGTTCAGTAACTGTTACTTAAACACCAGAAAGCCAGTGGCCGGACTTTGATTCAACGGCGGGTACACTGGTCTTTCTGATTGTGAAAGCCGTTGACTGAAGGTAAACTAGCATAGCATTAAACACATAGACGAACACAGCAGTTCATTACAATAAAACAAATGCAGTAGCTTACAACAGATAATATACAGAATGTGACGTGTCGTCAACAATGATGCATAATTATCAGTGGTTATAAAAGAAACATAACTATTTCTGAAACTATTTCTGCCCAGACCAAAGCTCTTACTTGGGGTAACTCCTGGTGATCGTTGCAAAGTTGGTTAGATCGTCACTCTGTTGAATGTTAAATCAACAGATTCAGGCAGGTTTCCTTCGTGGCAGATGTAGGAGGAGGGTAGCGGGATTCAGATCTTCGACCAGAGCGCTGCTCTATAGGGTCTTCTGGTTGCAGGAGCCGAGTTCTTTATGTGTCCTTGTGGATTCAGGGATCAGTGGGCTTCCTTCAGCGCTCCTGTCCAGTTGCGTTCAATGACGTCTTACGAAAAATCAAAGGAAAGAAACTCTTCTTTTTGCTCGAACCTGATAGCATCTGATTGCGCCCAAAACTCCTAGAAATATGCAGTGGAAGTAGTCAGCTGAATCCTCTGATGCTTGAATTCAGCATGTGAAGAGCTACCTATACTGAGCAACCTCAGCTCTGGAGTTTAACCTATGTAAGTCAAGAGGAGGAAAGGCTTTGTCTCGAATGCTGGAGTCCATCATATGGAGAGGGTATCCTCTGGTGTCGGCAGACCACACTTGAAGAGCAGGAAAGGGTTTGTCTCGAATGCTGGAGTCCATCATATGGAGAGGGTATCCTCTGGTGTCGGCAGACCACACTTGAAGAGAAGGAAGCAATGCC